TTTGTATTATTATCTAAATTTATTTACATACTTTTTATAAATTTTTTGTATTAATTAAATTCTACTTATTGCACGCTGTATTTCCATCTTCTGTATTGCCAAGTTTGATCTGTTCCTTTAAGTCTTTAGCTTGATTCAAATTGCTTAATATCTCCCGATAGTTTCGCACACCCAAATCAATTAAACCCCTCGACGAGTTTGCCCTCTGCAGACCACTATAATGATTAGACACCCATTCACAGTCACAATTACATTTATGGAGTGCAGTTCATCGCCTTCCGCCTTCTTATTTATCCTTGAACGTGAATACGTAACTGTAGCCGTATCCATGTCCGCCTTCATTTAGTTCAAATAAGCAATCAATGTTCATTATTTATAAATGTTTGTTTACCTTAGCATTTTACGATATTTCCCCCCCCTTCTTTTCCTGCCTTTCCTGCCTTATATTCCTTTTCTTTTTATTTCCCTTCGTTTGTTTTGTTTTCACACTATTAGCCGTGGCCCATGTTTGCCTTGGGGCCAATGGAATTCACTCGAAAGGATTGGCTCGAACCCTTTTGGGGGCTTAGTAACAGTTGGCTCCTTTAAAGGGGGAACTTTCTTCAAGTACTGGGTTTACAAGGCCTGAAATGAATGCTGGCCATAAAAAGAGGCGAAGAAATAAATGTAAATAAAAGTGTAATTAAATAATATAGGAAGTTAAATTCAAATAGCACTTGTTGACTAGAGAAAAGGTTTAAGTAATTGGTTGACTTGATAAGTACATCTTATATTTATAATATATACATTACTTATTATCTGGTTTTCTGTTCAAAACAGTAAGTATTTTTGGTGTAGGAATATTTTTGGCCACGTTACAGGACAAAAAAAAATGTTATATTTTACAAAAAAATAATTCGTTTTTGACCGAAACAATTGAAATATTGATCCAAATATGGATTGTCATACCTTCCTGAATTCGTTATTAAATTTCCTATCGATTGGCATTTAAATCTGGAAATTTTATTTTTTGCCCAATTTTCGCAAAAAATCATGATGTTACCCCTATAAAAAAAGTGAAAATTTGCGAAAATTTTATTTTTACAAAATCCCACGGACAGTGTCATGGATCTATTTATTATTTCGTTATCTGTTCAAAACAGTAAGCTTTTTTAATGTCGGACCATTTTTAAGCAAGTTACAGCAAAAAAACAAACAGGAAAAATTCAAAATTTGCCCAAAAACCCAGATCCCAATTTTTCCCAAAAAAATAATTCGTTTTTTGACCGAAACAATGGAAATATCCATCCAAATTTCTGAATTCGTTATTGAATTTCCTATCGATTGGCATTTAAATCAGGAAATTTTATTTTTTGTCCAATTTTCGCAAAAAATTATGAAAAAAATGTGAAAATTGGCGAACCTTTTTTTCTTTTTACAAAATCACACGGACAGTGTCATGGGTTTATTTATTATTTTGTTATCAAAAAATAGTGTGTGTTATTTTAGTTTAAGACCTTTCTTAAAATTAAAGTAGCACTTGCGAGTAAAGTTTTAAAATAATAACTCTTAATTGCATCTCCTATTTGATCTTACTTTTCCAATTATTTCATTGTTATTCCCATTAAATATTAACCATTGTGTGTAGAATATTTGCCATGAAATTAAGAGCACTGCTGTTGCAAAAAAACTTGGCATGAAAAATATGCACGACTGTCAAAGCCATAATTAAATCGAAAAATTCCCTGGCCCATACGTGGCATACGTTGCGTATACATATTAGGCAGATATAATTGTCCCCTCTTAGTTAATTGAACTTTTATTTGTTGTCGATACATTCCGTTTGGCTTTCCACTTGTTTGACATGCATTTGCATGCCGCTCAATTAGTGAGTAGTACAATTAAGCGACAAAATGTTGGAAGCAAATTGCAATTCGAGTGCAGTGTCGAAAAATCGCCATGTATTTCCACACACATGTATTGGCGTGTGGAAATTATGGTTTTATAATTGCCATCGGTATGTGTGTGTCGCTATCTCTATCGCCATCCATTTGGCCGTCCCTTTCAGCCATTTGCATTGCCATTCGGATTCGAATTCGTGCGAGTGTGTAATTTAATTAATTTTATAATAGCCCTGCCAGTTACACAAGCGAAAGCAATAAACCAAAGTCAATAATATTTATTTATTCCATTCGGTATTTTTGTTTAGCTGCGTTTTAATGAGTTTTGCAGTTCGCATTTTGCAGTTGATTCTAAGGGCTCCCAGGGAGTTGCATTGGTATTTCAATAAATAAATAACATTTCACGGCAATATTTGACTTTTGTTCATCGATTTACTGATTTGCAGAGAGTTCTTTTAATGGTGAAATTAAATATATTTAAGCTAAAACTAATTGTGATATTTGATCTATTTTTGCAGCCAAATAGGTTACTTAATACTGATATTAGATCTTTTTTTGTAGCCAAATCGTCATTGATATTCCTAAAAATGTGAATTGGGGATGTAAACATTTTACTATAATTACTGAAACTTTAATCCAATTATATTCATTGTTCAATATAGCTTCCATTCTCAATTTAATTGATTTTCTGAACATATTTTCTCACATTTGTTTTTCTAGATTTTATATTTTATTTAGCAGCTTAATATTTCACCATAATACGACCCAAAACAGCTTTGCTTTTACTTAATATTGCGATTGACCCAAGTAAAAGTTGTTCAGTTGTCCGATTCATTAACAAAGTTAAGGTTAATTGCTGCCGAGCAAAGTCGGGGCGAAAGTTAATCGAAGTTTTCTCGTAAGTTGATTGATTAGTGCCCCTGGGGGTTGGGGGGTTAAACTAATTTTGAAACAATAAAATAAGTTTGGACAGCGAGCACAAGCGATAATGATTGGCCAGCTGTTTTTCAGTTTTTCCGTTTTCTCGCTGTTTTTATTTGCAATCGCTGATGCAACCGAAATCCAAGATTTTCTGTGCCCTTTTTAATTTTTTTTTTTTCGCTAAACTTTTTTTGCAACATTAACTAACCCGGCGATGTTCGTTTAAGCCGGAATGCAAATTGACTTGTTTCCGTTGCTACCCGTCTCTACCTCTCTCTCTCTCTCTTGCTGTCTCTTTCTGTGTTCGCCATCTCTCTCTATTACTTCCTTGGGCCATCTATTATGTAGATGGTATAAAACAAAGAATGAGCCACCTTCCTTCGTCTGGTTTCGTGGTTTTGATTTTCCCTTTTGCACCTACATACATCCATACTCTCCTGTTGTTTTCCCCTCCTCTTTGTGCCCTTCCCTTTAGCCCCATTCCGTTTCGCCTTTTTTCCTCCTTTTCCTCGCCAGCATTTGGCTTAAGTTTTGCAATTTTGAGCTAATTCCTGCGACGACGAAGCCGCCTTCTCCACTTTCCCCCCTTCGCCCCGATTTCCCTCTCAGTTTTTATCGGTTAGTTGGTGCTTAATACACTGGCAGGAATTGTTAAAAAATAGTTAAATGGGGCTTATGAAAATTACTTATTTTAAAAAGCACTTAAAACTAGCAAGATTTTTATTGCTTCAGCATACTACAATTATCTTGTAAGCAATGATAAAAAAATGTAGAAATATTTACAAAATATTATTAAAAAAAGAAATATAGAAATATTAGTTATTACTAGTGGAACAAATATTTATTTGGAGCTGATACAAACTTATGGATAAGGCTCCTAAAGTTCTTAGCTAAATCCGAAACAATATAAACGTCTGCATTGCTTCTTACAATCATAGCTTGTTTTATTGAGAGCTATCCTTTTTTTTTCTGTGTACTCAGCACACCTTGCTTTATTTTTCTGGGAAATAAAGGGAACAGAGCTAGATTTATGCATTGCCATGGTGCTCGGTTGGCTTCCTTGAATCCTTGAATTCCCGATTCCCTTCCCTTTTGTCATTGCAATTTAAATCCACGCACCGGCGGCAACGGAATGGAATTGAAACGGAAAAGGGAAAGCGGAACTGAATAGACGGATTCGCCTATATTGAGATTTATTGTCTCATCGCTCTAATTACAATAAGGCAGTGCTGCTGCCTGCCTACAACTGAGCAATGTCGCCATGTCCCCGTCTTAATTCCAATCTCAATTCCGAACCCATTCCCGATCCCCGTGGAGCGGTGCCAAGAAATTCAATTTAAATTACTTTTTAATGTCCCAAGCTCACACACATACACACAGCAAAGAAATACCTAGGGAAGGCTGGAAAATTGTTTAAAACTGCATTTAATTAACGGCGTCCCTTTTCAAAACTCCCCCGCAAAAGGAATACCGAAATGGCCAAAGGGCAGAAATGTTTATTCAGAGATTTTCGTTTGACTATTTGCTCGCCGCCTTCCGATAAATATCTCTGCCTAATTCCCCTACTTATTCGATCAATAGTGATTACCTTGATGCAGTGGCCAGCTGGCTAAAAATAAAAATTCATGCCCCAAAGCCAACTAAATTTATCCGAAAAACCAATAGCCAACCATAATTATTCAACTTTGATCGGCTAATTGCATGCGCTTGTTGATTAAATCAATTTTAACCGAGCTGGGATTTTGCCATTGGCATTAAAGTTTCTATTTTCGTGTAGAGATTTTTCCCTTCAAATGAGTAAATTTTATTTATTTTCTAATATTCAAAGATATTAACTAACAAATAATGATTTGGAAAGAAAATATAGGGAGTACTTTTGATGATATGCATTTATATAATTATCGATATATTTCTATGAAATTTTTAATATAATATTTTCTTTTTTTGCAATTAAATATTATATTTTGTTGATAACGTGACTATTTATCAATCGATTGAAATGCGATATTTTCGATATGAAAATACAACTCCTTTTGCCCTCGATCGAGCCGCCGAAGGGATAACGTTCAGCCCAGTCACACACTCACACTGACAAGCCAATATCGAGCCCGAATCTAAGCCAAGAGATAAATATAAAAATAAATATATACCCGAAAAAAGCCGGAAAGCCCGGAAAAGCCGATAAAAACACCATCATCCATGTCATCCAGCTGCAAGTCGAGAATTCCGGAGCGCGTTAAGCACTCGCTGACGGCGCTGCATGGCCCGAATTCGCGGATTTCGCGGGTCCGCAGCCCGGTTCGTTCGAACCGGTGTTCACTGTTCCGCTCCCGGTTGCCGCTGCCGATCAGGACGCTGGCAATGGCCCTGGTCAGCGAGATGGCGCATCAGCCGGAAGTGCCGAAGCCGAAGCCGCGGGCAAGGGAAACGGAAACGGAAGCGGTGATCCGTTCGCTGGTGCGACGCTCGATTCCGCCAGCGGTGCGGGGCAATCGCACCTCCTTCCGCCGCATCCAAATGGCCCACAGCCTGCCGCAGGTGGCCAGTGTTTCGCTGGTAATGAAGCCGTCCGCCAGTCGGTGGGAGAATCAGCATCAGCCAAGTCAGAATCAACAGCTCCAGCCGCCGAATCAACCCGGATCAACCGAACCAACGGATCGAACCGAGGACGATGAGATTTCCGCGAAGAGTCTGCTCGAATTGGTGGCCGGCAAATGGCAGCCGGACATGCAAACAATGCGCTTTCTGTGCAGCGATCATCGGCTGATCAATGTGCCCAGTCGGCTGATGAACCGCCACTCGGTGGTGATGGACCGCCTGGAGGCGCTGGAGCAGCCCATCGAGCTGAGGGCCATTCGATCGGTCACCCTGCTCCGCGTGGTCATGTGGATGCATCAGAAGAGCCTGAGCGGTGAAGTGCCGACTAGCAGCGATGACGCCGATAAACAGAGTTGTATTTGCGATAATCAAAGTAATGCCAAAGGAAACGGAAATGAAAATGAAGAAACAAATACCAGCACCATGGAAAATGATATGTACAGCGATAGTGGAAGTGAGGATAGCGACGACAGTTCCACAGAAGTAAGTGAGAGCACTCAAGAAATCGTGACGAGCACCACGGAAACAATAGAAAGTATCAAATATCAAATATGCAGGGGCTACACAAGAAGCAGATACGAAAGTACCGATAGCACACTGATTAGGAATCGAATACATAGGCCCTATAGTAGAGGCGGCCTAGAGAGTGACGACGAGAACATTTGTGAGAACTATGAGAACGCAGAGAATTTAAGGTATAGAAAACTCAATGGCTACACGGAGGGCGGAAACTCCAAACTGAATGCAAATGGCAGCGGAAGCGACAAGGAAAGTGCAATTACCAATAGATATGCCAGCAGTCAGCAGGATCGTTTTCTAATCAGTCCCAAGGATAGTGGAATTTTCAGGGAAAATAGTGGAAGAAACAATCATAACGGGATGGAGAATGGCAAGGAAAAGGGATATATCGAGGGTGAATTAAGTGAACATATTACGTTTCGTAACAGCAGTAGCCAAAAGAAGCCAAATTTAAGTCATAGCAATGTAAATGTAAATGTAAATTTAAGTGAAAAGACAGGTATGACACTTTGCGCACAAAAAGTGGCGCCCAACGTGGGGCAAAACCAGAGAAGTGAACCGAGCTCCTGGGAGCAGCGGCTGTTGGGCAGCGAACTCTACCAGCTGGTGGAGCTCATCCTGGCGGCCCACTACCTGGGCATCAATGCCCTGACCCTGCTGGCCACCCACCACTTCGGCGAGCTGATGGCCCAGCGGACGCGATCGGAGCGATGCCTCATGCTGCGCATTCGCAACCATTTGGCCGGCGTGCGTCAGACGCTGGACACCCATCGTCCGCTGATCAGGGAGATAGTGACGCAGGCGGAGGCAGCCAGCAACTGGATGAGGCATCGAAGGACAACCGGAGGTCCTTTCCTTTCCCCCATGGAGCCACCCTTGCTGCTGGCCAACAACAGGCATCGCCACCACCAAAACTGTTTCCACACCAGGATGTAGTAACTCCTCTCGAAACTCCTCAATAGAGCCTTTGTACTCACGTCTCTCATTGTTTTCGTATTCTCGGTTCTTCAATTTGACAATCGTCCTTCTGTGGTTCTTCATCTGGTTTTTGGCCTCTGCCGCTCTTCGTTCGTCTTGATGATTTATTTAATTGCGAAATAAATGCGAGGCCTTCTTGAGTTGCAAACTGCCCGGAAGACATACGTACACGCGTCAAAGTCGATTAATCCGCTGGCAGCCACTTTTTGCTCGGCAAAAGCAGCAAAGAACGAGCATTTTGATTAAATATTGCACTGCAAAAAATAACAAAACAAAATACGAAAGGTGCGAGGTAGCTAAGCTAATTAAAAAAAAAAAGTTAAATAACTTAAACTTCATTGAATAACTGACAAATTTTTTATTTTTTAAAAATTAATGTCAAAAAATGTAAACTAACAGAAACAAAAAGTTGCAAATTAGGTGAGATTCTTCTATAAATGTTAACATTACCGTAAAATTGAAAATGAATTTAAAAATAAATATAAACTGTATTTAATGGACTAACAGATTTTCTATTGAATAATGTTGCAAACTATCCGAAAAATATTTTTACACAATTTTCTACAAATGAAGACTAAAACAGAAATTTTTAAATAAATTTAAAAATAAATATCAAGTAATAAGGGATACCTTAACATTAGAAATAGTGTCTTGAAAGGTTTACTGACCTCTGAGACAACTGACTTAAGGCACAGCACCCTTCAAAACACAATAGTTTTGTTCTCAGTGCCACAGTGGCATAATTAAGGGGAACCTGGTTGTTCTGGCCGAGTGGGCGGTGAATGATGTGGACTATACCCACGACCGATGGGCGGCAATTAAGCGATAAAATATGCAACAAGCCAATTATGCGCACATTAAATGGCCACGACCACAGCTACAGCTCTTTTGAGTCAGATCAATGGGCCGAAGTTCAGGTAGTGGCCCATTTGTTTCACCAGCTCGACTTTCTCCTTATATCTCAACTTTCCATGCTCCTTTTCTCGTTCTCCTTTTGGCAAAAGAAAGTTTTCGTACAACTTGTTTGGCTTGCTGAAAAGGTCATGCCGCATTAATTTTAGATGGCATTGCCGCGAGTTTTCAAGTTTTTAGCGACTTTGCACATAAGCCGTTAAGCAGGAGAGGCCAAAAAGGACAACAGCAACAGCAAGAGCAAACAGGACACTGGCCAATGTGGTTAGCACCTCGAAGGAGAAGAAGATTTCCTCGCGGCTAATGTTTTCGGAAAAGTGTCTAGCTGGGAAACAAAGTTTTTCCACTGTCAATCGCACTGCGAACGTGTGTCCTTCTCCCGTTTATTCCACCTTGCCAGCAGTTTTCCTTTCAAATTGCATTTTTTGCTATTCGCTTAAATTTATAATGCGAAACTTTTCGGGTTTTCGTTGGCTCACTGAAATTTTCAAATAATTTGAAGGTATCATTGGGAGAAGGTACCAAAAATACTATGTGTAAAAATAAATATTTTAATATCATCATTTTTTAGTGTAGTATATTTTTATAGTATATACTTTTAGTATATTAGTTAGGTTTCACCTTAATTAAAATAGATTTCATTTTCTATAAGTACTATGGATGGAGCTTAAATTTTTAATAAAGTGTGTCTGAGTTTTTCCTATCTAAAGTATCGATAATATAAATATCAGCAACTGTCGATGTTTTTACAAACCTACTGTTTACTAAACTGTTGTTTTTCCAAATCATTAAGTGGAAACTTTCCATAAAACAGTCGGCTGTCCAAAAATACCCATAATGTATAGATATATAGATCAACTCCCGCTGCTGAAGCCCCACTAAAATCCAATTCCCGCGAAGTTCAAGGACCCGATCCGACTGTTTTATACGTAACTTAAATTATGGAGAACAATATAATGTGAAAGACGTCGGGCAAATGCAACAAAGGGAAATTTAATAGACCTAACGACGCCATCATAATGAAGCAATGGCAAACACACGCACACGTGTTTGTGAGTATGTGTGTAGTGTGTGTATGTGAAGCAGCCATTTTTATTTCTGTAACACGCATACGCCCCGTGGTCTGGGTGGTTTTTTTTTGTGTTTAGTGTTTTTTGTCGTGGTTGTCGACGTCTCCTTTTGTTATTGCTGCCAAATCGCGTGAGCAACTTAAATGCCTGAATTTATTCGTGACCCGCAGCAAAAGTAAAGAATGAACTTCGATTACTTTCGGGGGCAACAGGTTGATCCAACCGCCAATTGGCAAACCGTCAGTCTATTTTCATTTCGATATCATTTGCTTCGTTTTCTGGCCATTGCCGTTGCTAATGAAAATCTACACGAAACTTGTAGACAAGTTTTTTATACTCATCACTCGCTCGTAAAGTGTTTTGGGTATGCTGGCCATTTCTGCAGGCCAAGTCTTCGTTTTTACATCGTCTCTGGGACTCTTTAATTTTGAAAATGTGCACGGGGGAGTCCTAAATGATTTAAATTTCAACTTTCGTATGTCAATAAATGTTTTATCTTATGCGAGTTTGAGATCTAGATAAAGCATTCCTTTTTCCTTTTATTTTGGTATTTACTTAGGATATTTACTGAATTTATTTTTTAATAATTAAGCTTCTTACGGATCTCCTGATTAATTCAAAACACCTAATTCCGTCAACCTGAATATTCAATGCATTCGATTCTAACATACTTAATCATGATTTCGCTTACACTCGCATTTTCGTATCCTTTTGCCCAAGTCCTTGTGCTATTCCACCCAGCGCTTTGTGGCATTTTCTGCAATTTAACCGTTGATATTTCTCGTTAGCGGTAATGTATAGCAGCTCGGTGCTATGCTTTATAACTACCCCTTAGCCCCCGCGATTATTCCCGCCCCGATGCCCCGTAAGCCGCAACTTTGATAAAGGAGAAACTTTTGTCTACCGCAAGCAAAATGAAAATCGTCCATTGAACTGTGGGCTTGGCCCAAGTCGTCGTTTCCCCTGGTCCCCCCTGTCATTTAATCCATTTCAAAGTTTTCCGCTCTGCTCTGTTCTGTTCTGTTCTGTTACATTCAACAATGTTCCGTCTGTCAGCGCAATGAGTTCGGTTGATTCATCAGAAGACATGGCCTCGCCTCGCAATCGTGTTGGTTCCACGGGGAAAAGGAAAATGGAAATGGAAGTGGCAACTTTGCCACATATCGAGCACCAAATCTAGTGGATTTCCATTAGGAATCGCCGGATTATCCAGTTTAATTGATTAAACACAAGATTGGGCAAAGGGATATGCTCAAAAGTTGGGCTTAAGCTGTGACCACGGGGATTCAAAAGTTTTCATTTCAATGCAGAGAGGAAAAACACAAAATACTTGGCTAAACTTTAAGTTAAACGCAAATATTCGAAGCGAAAGGGAATTGGTAATCATCATTAGTTGAAAAAATGATCAATTATAGTGATTATATTTTACAAAAATTTAAAGAACTTTTTGAAAAAAATCCTGGGATATTTCCTGTATTCTGTGAAAAATATTCTGATAATTTGTGGACTTTAATCCTCTCAACTGCCTTATTGTTCTGATACGGACTGTATGATGCCGGTGCTGTTTGTGTGATTAACGTGCAGCAAAGCTCATTCCGAATGATTTATTGAGTGCTGTCTTTCGCCTCGCCTCGCTCTCTTCTTTCCCTTTTTCCCCCACTGATCATTTCCATTCAGTGGCGCACATTAAGCATACGCCCCGTGCGACCGCAGCAACAATTGCACATTGTACTTAATACGATGATGAATATACATACGTATGTTGCTGGGACGAAAATTATGTATATAATGAGCGAGGAGGGCGGTCGAGTTGAGTTAAGTTGAACTGAGTTGAGTTGAGGGGGATTCATTGTTGAGCCTGGCCAAGTGGCACAAATGGAAGCAGTCGCCCAGTCAAGGAGAAGTACAGCAACAATAATGAAAATAAAACAACAAACAATGAGTAGCAATAACAATAACAGCAATAGCAAGAGCAGCAGAAAAAAAAAACAAGTGAAGCCAATCAAACAGTCAGCGGTTGTCAATTAAACTTAATTATGTTGTACAGACTGTGAGCAGAGGCTTTGCAAGATGTTGGCAACTTGCCACGACAGCAGCTTTCGCTCCCGCTTTCACTTTCCACCTCCCACATGGCCACGCCCCTCGCACTTGCCGCCCCCTTTTGCCGCTGCCAGTCCAAAAATTGTGTGTAAATTGAAAGCTTTAACAAAACTAATTGAGCGCAGCTACGAAAATGGACGGAAAAACATACAAACTGATTTGATTGCGTGAACGTGGATTTAGCTAAAAAGCACTTGATGATTTCGTTTATCGTAGACGTATAGATTTTGATATTCTTTTTGTTTATTTTTGCTAAAATACTAAGTAGAAAGAACTCTATAGTCGAGGAGTAGATCGATAATTGTTCATAGGTTCTTAATGAATGGTTCGATTTAAAAACTTACTTCTACATTTTGATAAGTATTGATAGACACAAAAAAATGGCATTTAATGTTTTGAATAAAAATCATACTTAAATACTCTAATCAACTAAAATCAGCTGCTTTATAAAATGCTCCATCATCATTTTAGTGTGTGTCATCGGGTTTAATGGCTTCACTATTAGCAAAAGCAAAATTAGTTCAAATCGTGCTCCAATTATCCTTTAACTGCTATTGACATAAAGCGATTTTAAATTGGCCACCCTTCCGAATCAATTTTTCATCCAATTTACTTCGTGGCCAACTCTTGTAGTTTTTCCCCTATCCTCGTTTTTCCCGCCCTTTCGATACTTTCAATAGTTACCTTCGCCAATAATCGTCTGACTGTCTGTCTGTGTCCAGTGTCCTGTTTTCCACCCCCCCTTTGCCGCCGCCCGTGGAAAACCCGTGCACTCGCTGGACAAGGACTCGCATTAATTAGGTGTGGGCGCAGTGCAAACAGGACTAAAGTGCCGGGGAAGGAAAAGTGCAGGGCAAGTGGGTGGAAGAGCG